TTATGTAGTTGCGTTTTTCTTAATGTAGTTGCGCTTTGCTTTATGTAGTTGCGATTTCCTTAATGTAGTTGCGCTTTGCTTTATGTAGTTTTGTTTTCCTTAATGTAGTTGCGCTTTGCTTTATGTAGTTTTGTTTTCCTTAATGTAGTTGCGCTTTGCTTTATGTAGTTTTGTTTTTCTTAATGTAGTTGCGCTTTGCTTTATGTAGTTTTGTTTTTCTTAATGTAGTTGCGCTTTGCTTTATGTAGTTTTGTTTTCCTTAATGTAGTTGCGCTTTGCTTTATGTAGTTTTGTTTTTCTTAATGTAGTTGCGCTTTGCTTTATGTAGTTTTGTTTTCCTTAATGTAGTTGCGCTTTGCTTTATGTAGTTTTGTTTTCCTTAATGTAGTTGCGCTTTGCTTTATGTAGTTGCGATTTCCTTAATGTAGTTGCGCTTTGCTTTATGTAGTTTTGTTTTTCTTAATGTAGTTGCGCTTTGCTTTATGTAGTTTTGTTTTTCTTAATGTAGTTGCGCTTTGCTTTATGTAGTTTTGTTTTCCTTAATGTAGTTGCGCTTTGCTTTATGTAGTTTTGTTTTCCTTAATGTAGTTGCGCTTTGCTTTATGTAGTTTTGTTTTCCTTAATGTAGTTGCGCTTTGCTTTATGTAGTTTTGTTTTTCTTAATGTAGTTGCGCTTTGCTTTATGTAGTTTTGTTTTCCTTAATGTAGTTGCGCTTTGCTTAATGTAGTTGCGCTTTGCTTTATGTAGTTTTGTTTTTCTTAATGTAGTTGCGCTTTGCTTTATGTAGTTTTGTTTTTCTTAATGTAGTTGCGCTTTGCTTTATGTAGTTTTGTTTTTCTTAATGTAGTTGCGCTTTGCTTTATGTAGTTTTGTTTTTCTTAATGTAGTTGCGCTTTGCTTTATGTAGTTTTGTTTTTCTTAATGTAGTTGCGCTTTGCTTTATGTAGTTTTGTTTTTCTTAATGTAGTTGCGCTTTGCTTTATGTAGTTTTGTTTTTCTTAATGTAGTTGCGCTTTGCTTTATGTAGTTTTGTTTTTCTTAATGTAGTTGCGCTTTGCTTTATGTAGTTTTGTTTTTCTTAATGTAGTTGCGCTTTGCTTTATGTAGTTTTGTTTTTCTTAATGTAGTTGCGCTTTGCTTTATGTAGTTGCGATTTCCTTAATGTAGTTGCGCTTTGCTTTATGTAGTTGCGATTTTCTTAATGTAGTTGCGCTTTGCTTTATGTAGTTGCGATTTCCTTAATGTAGTTGCGCTTTGCTTTATGTAGTTTTGTTTTCCTTAATGTAGTTGCGCTTTGCTTTATGTAGTTTTGTTTTCCTTAATGTAGTTGCGCTTTGCTTTATGTAGTTGCGATTTCCTTAATGTAGTTGCGCTTTGCTTTATGTAGTTTTGTTTTTCTTAATGTAGTTGCGCTTTGCTTTATGTAGTTTTGTTTTTCTTAATGTAGTTGCGCTTTGCTTTATGTAGTTGCGATTTCCTTAATGTAGTTGCGCTTTGCTTTATGTAGTTGCGATTTTCTTAATGTAGTTGCGCTTTGCTTTATGTAGTTGCGATTTCCTTAATGTAGTTGCGCTTTGCTTTATGTAGTTTTGTTTTTCTTAATGTAGTTGCGCTTTGCTTTATGTAGTTGTGTTTTCCTTAATGTAGTTGCGCTTTGCTTTATGTAGTTTTGTTTTTCTTAATGTAGTTGCGCTTTGCTTTATGTAGTTTTGTTTTTCTTAATGTAGTTGCGCTTTGCTTTATGTAGTTTTGTTTTTCTTAATGTAGTTGCGCTTTGCTTTATGTAGTTTTGTTTTTCTTAATGTAGTTGCGCTTTGCTTTATGTAGTTTTGTTTTCCTTAATGTAGTTGCGCTTTGCTTTATGTAGTTTTGTTTTTCTTAATGTAGTTGCGCTTTGCTTTATGTAGTTGCGTTTTCCTTAATGTAGTTGCGCTTTGCTTTATGTAGTTTTGTTTTTCTTAATGTAGTTGCGCTTTGCTTTATGTAGTTTTGTTTTTCTTAATGTAGTTGCGCTTTGCTTTATGTAGTTTTGTTTTCCTTAATGTAGTTGCGCTTTGCTTTATGTAGTTTTGTTTTTCTTAATGTAGTTGCGCTTTGCTTTATGTAGTTTTGTTTTCCTTAATGTAGTTGCGCTTTGCTTTATGTAGTTTTGTTTTTCTTAATGTAGTTGCGCTTTGCTTTATGTAGTTGCGATTTCCTTAATGTAGTTGCGCTTTGCTTTATGTAGTTTTGTTTTTCTTAATGTAGTTGCGCTTTGCTTTATGTAGTTTTGTTTTTCTTAATGTAGTTGCGCTTTGCTTTATGTAGTTTTGTTTTCCTTAATGTAGTTGCGCTTTGCTTTATGTAGTTTTGTTTTTCTTAATGTAGTTGCGCTTTGCTTTATGTAGTTTTGTTTTCCTTAATGTAGTTGCGCTTTGCTTTATGTAGTTTTGTTTTCCTTAATGTAGTTGCGCTTTGCTTTATGTAGTTTTGTTTTCCTTAATGTAGTTGCGATTTCCTTAATGTAGTTGCGCTTTGCTTTATGTAGTTTTGTTTTTCTTAATGTAGTTGCGCTTTGCTTTATGTAGTTTTGTTTTCCTTAATGTAGTTGCGATTTCCTTAATGTAGTTGCGCTTTGCTTTATGTAGTTTTGTTTTTCTTAATGTAGTTGCGCTTTGCTTTATGTAGTTTTGTTTTCCTTAATGTAGTTGCGCTTTGCTTTATGTAGTTTTGTTTTTCTTAATGTAGTTGCGCTTTGCTTTATGTAGTTTTGTTTTTCTTAATGTAGTTGCGCTTTGCTTTATGTAGTTTTGTTTTCCTTAATGTAGTTGCGCTTTGCTTTATGTAGTTTTCCTTAATGTAGTTGCGCTTTGCTTAATGTAGTTGCGCTTTGCTTTATGTAGTTTTGTTTTCCTTAATGTAGTTGCGCTTTGCTTTATGTAGTTGCGATTTCCTTAATGTAGTTGCGCTTTGCTTTATGTAGTTTTGTTTTTCTTAATGTAGTTGCGATTTCCTTAATGTAGTTGCGCTTTGCTTTATGTAGTTTTGTTTTCCTTAATGTAGTTGCGCTTTGCTTTATGTAGTTTTGTTTTCCTTAATGTAGTTGCGCTTTGCTTTATGTAGTTTTGTTTTCCTTAATGTAGTTGCGCTTTGCTTTATGTAGTTTTGTTTTCCTTAATGTAGTTGCGCTTTGCTTTATGTAGTTTTGTTTTCCTTAATGTAGTTGCGCTTTGCTTTATGTAGTTTTGTTTTCCTTAATGTAGTTGCGCTTTGCTTTATGTAGTTTTCCTTAATGTAGTTGCGCTTTGCTTAATGTAGTTGCGCTTTGCTTTATGTAGTTTTGTTTTTCTTAATGTAGTTGCGCTTTGCTTTATGTAGTTGCGATTTCCTTAATGTAGTTGCGCTTTGCTTTATGTAGTTTTGTTTTTCTTAATGTAGTTGCGATTTCCTTAATGTAGTTGCGCTTTGCTTTATGTAGTTTTGTTTTTCTTAATGTAGTTGCGATTTCCTTAATGTAGTTGCGCTTTGCTTTATGTAGTTTTGTTTTTCTTAATGTAGTTGCGCTTTGCTTTATGTAGTTTTGTTTTCCTTAATGTAGTTGCGCTTTGCTTTATGTAGTTTTGTTTTCCTTAATGTAGTTGCGCTTTGCTTTATGTAGTTTTGTTTTTCTTAATGTAGTTGCGCTTTGCTTTATGTAGTTTTGTTTTCCTTAATGTAGTTGCGCTTTGCTTTATGTAGTTTTGTTTTTCTTAATGTAGTTGCGCTTTGCTTTATGTAGTTGCGCTTTGCTTTATGTAGTTTTGTTTTTCTTAATGTAGTTGCGCTTTGCTTTATGTAGTTTTGTTTTTCTTAATGTAGTTGCGCTTTGCTTTATGTAGTTTTGTTTTCCTTAATGTAGTTGCGCTTTGCTTTATGTAGTTTTGTTTTTCTTAATGTAGTTGCGCTTTGCTTTATGTAGTTGCGATTTCCTTAATGTAGTTGCGCTTTGCTTTATGTAGTTGCGATTTCCTTAATGTAGTTGCGCTTTGCTTTATGTAGTTTTGTTTTTCTTAATGTAGTTGCGCTTTGCTTTATGTAGTTTTGTTTTCCTTAATGTAGTTGCGCTTTGCTTTATGTAGTTTTGTTTTTCTTAATGTAGTTGCGCTTTGCTTTATGTAGTTGCGATTTCCTTAATGTAGTTGCGTTTTGCTTTATGTAGTTTTGTTTTTCTTAATGTAGTTGCGCTTTGCTTTATGTAGTTGCGATTTTCTTAATGTAGTTGCGCTTTTAGATTTGTAGTTGCAGTTTGCACTTCAGGGCCACCGTAAAAAACAGATACATGTTATTGTTGCGGTTTAACATTGGAATGTAAAATATTTGATCACATACAATACGGAAAAGCAGTGCATCAATACATTTTGTAGCTACAGCCAATCTGTAATTATTCTTGGTTGATATGTTTTTTGTTTTTGCGTTCTCACCATATCCTGGTTTAATAACACCTTTCTGTTTATAAGGTTTCCATAGTTCAATATTACATGTTAGATGTTACCTCATTATTTTATTCATTTTTTTTCCTTATGAGCTCCACTTTTATTATTTACTCTCCTCCTCTGAGCTTCTTGCCTTTTCTCCCTGCTGCAGTTGCAACTCATCTCTGAAACCTGTCGTGTGTCTTCCTCTTCCTTCCCTACAGCGCTGCTGGATTCTTCTCCTTTTTCTGTCGTTTTCCTGCTCATGCTTCATATCCTCTTCTTCTCAAGCAAGTCCTGTTTAGTAATCACTAAGTACTTTTTAGTCTCTTTCACTTCTGTTTCCCTCTCAATTTTCTCATGCAAAATAAGTAATTAAAATTTGTCTTATGGGTGTCAAATACAATTGACTGTAGTATATAGTCTACAAATTCATCATTTATTCATTTATTTGAAAAAAAAAAAAAAGGGTGTAACTTATTGCTACATATGGTGAAGAGAAAAAGAGCATTTGACCAAAACAGAGGAAGTTGGTTTCTGGGTTTTTTTAGTTCCTCAGAGGGAGAGTATGAGGAACTAAAAGAACCCAGAATTAGCTCATCTCACTCTTTTTAGATTCTTTTAAACTTTCTTCATGTTCCTAACTCTAGACATTAAAGATGGTTTCTAGCTGTCAGGCATTGAAGCTGTTTAACATTCTTGGTAAGTAACCTCTGGGTGTTTTCATTAACTATTATGCTTTGGATTTAAAGTCTATTCAGTTGCATTTACTCCTTTTCTGTGTTCATAACTTTAAAACCAAACAATCTAAATCTACATAAGGGTAGAGAAAAAAACGTCCTCTTCCGGGGGAAGATAGAACATACATTTTTTGAGGTACTTTGAAATATTTTGGACGACACTTAAAGTCGGTCAGAGCTTATCCTCGTTTGCTCGGCTGTTTTTAACAAGTCAACAAGAAGTGGTTGCTCACATTTGTTGGTGGCAGAATTTTACTTTGTGGTAAGAAAAACATTTTATATTGTTTATTTATGTTTGTTTTCAGTTGAAACTATAATGTTAGCTTCATATTTCTGCTTTTTTAAAAGTAATGAGTGGAAATGCTATGGAATTTATTTTGCTTTTCACAAAATGAGCTTGAAGCAGAGGAACGTTTTCTGAGGAGCAGAGTATTTTTCTTATGAAATTGCAATAAATTTTAGCTTTGTCTATTTAATTTATTTCTGTGAGCTGATGGAGGGATGTAGGAGTGTGATGGCAGCCCTGTCTGAGAACATGTTGACCGTCAGCATGTTACTGAATGTCTTCTTCTTCTCAGGTGAGCTGTTTGATTTCTCATTTTCATTCGTAGACATTACTGGAACCATTTTTAGTCTGAAATATTGGATCCTGATCTTGTTTAAAGGCTCTTTGTGTAACAAGCTGTAGCTCAGCTGGAGTTTATTGATCAGGAAGTTTATCTTTACGACTTAGTTCATAACACTAGTGATCTATATATTATATTCATTATTTATAGTAGTATTCATCTCTATACTCATTCATTAGAAATACACATGTCCTGTATTTATGGAACCATTATTTATCCTGCACTTGCTGCTATTGCACTTCTGGTTAGACCTAAACTGCATTTCATTGCCTTGTACCTGTACATGTGTAATGACAATCAAGTTGAATCTAATCTAATCTAATCTAATTTTGATCCACATTGTGTTCATCTCTATTCTGTATTTATAGGAGTTCAGACTGGTTGCTATAAACCAGCCCTCAGCATTACTGCACCAGAGGAGATGGAAGCTCTGAGTGGATCCTGTTTGCTAATCCCATGTAGCTTTAGAGAGAAAACAGGAGAAACCATTGATGGCAGAAGAAAAACATTTGGAGTTTGGATAAAAAGTCATCCTGAGTTTAAAGATAATCATTTTAACGTGATCTACAACAGCAGTAAGCCAACGAACATTTATAACATGAACATTACTGGAAACCTGAAAAAGAGGAACTGCACCACTGTGTTTTTTAATGTAAACTCAAGTCAAACAGATAAATACTTCTTCAGGGTTGAGAACGGGCCGTTCAAAGCAACAGCTTCCTGTCATCCTGTTAATATAACAGTTAGAGGTGAGAGCCTTTTGTTTTTATTTATCTCTAATGTTAATATTGATGAGAGAAAATGAATTCAGATGCATTTCTGCTCCAAATGTGTTTAAAGTAGAGATTTTCTGGATCTCACTGTGTAAAATGTGTGTATGATGTGAAAGCACAGATTCAGCTTGGAGGCCCAGGATTGAAATCTCAGGTGATGTGAAGGAGAAGGACTCTGTCACCATAACCTGCTCAGCTCTCACTCCCTGTCCACAATCACCTCCTGAACTCACCTGGAATCTCCAACCAGACTCTCCCAGACAGATAGAGGAGAACACAGATGGAACGTTTAGAACTAAAATCCAGCAGATCATCACTCTGTCAGACACACATGATGGATACAACATCATCTGTTCTGTCAGATATCCTGTGGATGGAGGAAAACACAGCAAGACAGCAAAGACAGAAGTGACTCTGAGTCTTTCCTGTAAGTCATCCTGTCAGAACATCATGGTTCAGCTGCTTCTCATCAATAAACTGAAGGTGTGTCACATTTTCCTCAGATGCTCCCAAAAACACCTCAGCGCCCATCAGTCTATCAGCAGATAGCTGGGTGTACCTGAACTGCTCCAGCAGAGCCAAGCCTCCCATCAGCTGCTTCACCTGGTTCAAGAAGAGCAAACATGGAGCCATGAAAGTAGCTGAAGGAGATGTCAGGTTAACCGTCTCTGAGGGAGGAATTCACTGCTGTGAGGCCAAGACTGAAGGTAGAACTAGAGTTTAGTGTGAGTCTCAGTCAAACTACTGAGCTAATTTAACTTAAAAATACGAAACTCAACTCATTATTTTATAATTCGATTTGTCTTTTATCTATTTTTTAAGTAAATAATGTTTTTAGAACACTATAAAACAAAAAACCCCCACAAAACTATAGAGTAGAACTAAGAAAAGTTAGTTAGTTTAGTTTTCCACAAATATAAAGTTCAGGTATGAAAGTAGCAAAAAACATGTCGACAAAATATACCAGACTTAACTTCTAGACTTACAAACTCTATAAACAGAACTCTAAATATGAAGACATCTTCTCACTTTTATATCATCACTTCCTTTTTATCTAGGTGTGCTAATTACACTCATTATACTTCCTGTTGTTGCTGTGATCGTCTTCCTGCTAATATGGTGAGTATTATTAACTTCCTGCAAATTTTGGTTACCCTGACTTATAGGATGATATGTAATGTGATCATAAATAATTTTGCTGTTGCAAATGAAAAAAACAACTCTATATATGTTTGGCTAAGAGAAACTGAACTGTCAAAGCAGAATTCAGTTAGAAATGTCCCATTTTTCTTTTTTCCAAGCAATTGGTAGTTGTATTTCATAGGGGAATTCAAGTGGTTTTTTCATTTTCAATACAGTGCATTAAAAATATCTTGTTCCATTTGGAAAAAAATGTATTCTCCAAAATGAAGAAAAGTTGTTTATACTTCTCTAAAGAGGCTGAACAGTCAGAGAGTAACCCCTTAGCTCACATCACCGAACTTGGGTGGCTTTGACAACACATTTTGTCGCACATCGAACATCCACCAGTCAGCCCCATGATCAGCTCAAGCTGCTGCCTCTAATTACCCCCAAATCATTCCACCTGTCTGCCTTTACATACCTGTCTCAGTCTCCAGTTCAAGTCGAATCATGTGCAGTTTCAAGCCAAGTCCCACCCTTGGCTGCTTTTAACCATGTCCATTACGAGGTTGCCTCTAGGTACATCATGTACCGGGCTTCCTCTAGCCATTTCCAACCTTGGGCTGCCTTTAGCCACCTGCAATCCCAGGCCAACTCGAACCCTGTCTGATCCTGCGCTGCCTCTAGCCACGTCCAATCCTTAGCTGTCTCTAGCCCTGTCTGATCCCGGGCTTTCTTTAGCCAAGTCTGATACCATGATACCTTTAGCCAAGATGTGCCTCATGCCAAGGAAGAATTCATTAAAATTTGGTAATAATCAACATTATGTTTGAGTTTTAGGTATAGGTGTGGTAATATGTGGCAAATCTTTCTGCATGGCAAAAGTCCTCTCTCTCAGTGTGCACTTCTAGTTATCTATCTTTTATATAGACCTAGACTCTCTTAGCTTGTGTCTTTAATTATTCTGACAACTTTTGGATGTCTTCCAGGTTCTTAAAAAACAAACGTACTGCTGCACAACACAATCAGGTGAGTCAATAGTGAACCAGCTTTACCTCTGCACTGTGCTCTGATTGGACAGTTGGACAAACTATCCATCTTCACATACAGGGCCGGATCTATCAATGGTTTGCGTGTATAAAAACGTGAGCTATTTCACTGCGCACGCTAAAAAATGTACAAACTGATCTATCAACAGCGTGCTAAAAGGATTTGGTCTTTAAAACGTGCTAAATAGCGCCTCTTATCCATTTAGTACTTTTTCTGCAATGAATATGCAATATGGGGCGTCTACACCCAAAAGTGCGTCTTGTGGGAGGAGATCATGTCAATATATTAATTTAGCACTCGCAAAGTGATTTATTAAACCTGAAAGCAATTTTGCTAACGGTATCTGACTCTATATTTAACACGTTTCAAAAGAAGGTGCAAATGGTCTGTATGCGTAATTGCGCACACATGGCAGCGATTATTGTCGCAAGAAGGAGACATTGAAATGAAGCAAGGAGACGCAGAGAACGCATTTTTTCACTCCGTGTGAATATTTTTGGAATGAACGAGGAAAGGATCATCAAAACATTTAGTTTATCCAGCATTGCCATTTTGGAGCTGCAATTCCAGTGATTTGCTCCTCACAGAGCGTCAGCTGTACCTCAATGCTGGTCAGAGGACATCTCATCTACTGTGCCCCCTCCTGTTTTGTTCGCAGATGTTTTGTTATATGCCAGTTTTTCTTTGGTTCGCCTTCTAATATCCTGGTATCTTCTTTTTACTTCATCCACTGTTCGCAAGGTTTCACCAACAGCGTTTACTTTATTACAGATTTGTTCACATATAGCGTTCCTCTGTGTGACAGGCACACTTCTTTGCTGTAGCTCACTTAAATGTCTGTTGGCTTCATCCACCAATACCTCCATTTCCATGGGGTCGAATTTCCTTTTGCGCCTTCTGCTGTCCAAACTCACCATGCCGTAAACCACAAAACGCGCAAAACTATCATTTAAATAGGGCGTCTCCAACAGTTTTGCACCTGCCACCAGTTACGCAATCGCTCTTGTTAAATCACCCGCAAACCATGGTTCAGCCCCTCGCGCAAAATTCCAGTTTGCGAGCGCAAATTACTGCACGCAAAATTGGATCTTGATAAATCCGGCCCATAGTCATTTAAATGCTCTTTGTTCTGTTCAAACATCTGTTGTTAAATTTAGAAAATTCTTAGTTTCTCAGTGTCAAATTTATTGGTGCATATAAGAACAGAAATTAAATGTTTTAAAATTATAATTGACTTTTTAAATTGATTCTAAATGTTGGATTTTTTATCCATGACTTCCTGTGGCTCTGAGGCATAAATACGATATGACACAGAATTAATTCTGTTCACCTCACTTCAAAAAAGGAAACCAAAGAAAACCTGCTATTTCAACCTATTCTCATTATGTATGAAATCGTACGGATGTACGAAAAGGCATGCACCGTAATTTCGTACCTTTTGGACTTTTTATTCGTTGTATGCGCATGCGCATCTGACGCCCCATCCACGAATATAGAATATAAATAACAATTAGCCCGAACCCTGACCCTAACCCTAAGATATAGAACAGCAAGCAACGTATTTAGAGACATGAATAAGTGATGATTGCACTGTTTTTCCCATTTTTACGTCTGCTTTTTTTTTCTGTCTGCCAGCGCATACGCACTGATGTGGTTTTTTGAGGAGAAACGTCCAAAACGTACGAAATAGTGTGCATAACTTTACGTACGATTTCACACGCACTGATAATGAGAATATGTTGGCTATTTAGTAAACCAGACCTAAGAATTAGGGAACTGCTCCTTACCTGGGTATCTATATCTGTCCCTGTTTGCTAGAATGTAGACGTCGTCAACTGATACAAACAGGCCTGGATACGCAAAGTGGCAAAGGGTCTCAGCTTTCATTCAACATGATGCCAACAGTTAAGGAACAGATATTTACTACCAATATATGGTAAATGGCCTGTACTACTATAACACTTTTTGAAGTCTGGAAACTCTAAAGCAAAATTCAGTCATTGAATCATTTTATGCAAATATTTACATATTGGTGGTACATGATGTGCTATGGATCTATTATTTTGTACTTCTTGTCACGGTTCAGAACAGAAGACTCAGTATTCAGGTAAGACAGACAGCGGGAATACTCAAAATGTGTTTATTGAAATAAACAGACTGCAGATCTGTTTTAGCTAGGGCGTCTGAGGCAGGAAGATCTGGGGGAGAGGAAACACATGTTAGTGACCACTATAACCTCACGGAGGAGGATAAGAATGCATGAGTCACTATCATGGTTTAGAGTACAGTCCATGTCCAGAGAACGAGGTTGATACCAGCCAGTTGGCTGACATTACGGAGCGGTTGCCTCAAAGAGAGTTCCAGACGCCAAAAACTTGAAGATTACAGAAGTGAACGGAGATCAGATGCAAACAAATAAAGGAAGGCAGGATAATCCAGAGGGCAAAGTCAAGAGGCAGATCCAGGTTTAGTCTACAAGAAGAATCCATCTGAAGACAGGTCGGGCAAACAGATCAGAACAGGGACAAGGAGGCTAAAAGGTCCAAAGACAGAAACAGGTCAGTAATGGGCAATCAGACCACAATCAGTGAAACTAGAATAATTTTCACACCAAAGGCTCAAGAATAATCTGGCACTGATGACTTGGAGCAAGCAATTTAAATAAAGGCAGGAGCAGGTGGATCAGATGAGCAGTAATGAGAAACCGAGAGTTAGACGGGTGAATAAAACGATTAATTAAGTCAGTCATGAGCACCAAGATCATGACACTGATTTTATATTTGACCTGAATAATATATATATATATATATATATATATATATATATATATATATATATATATATATATATATATATATATATATATATATATACACCTCAAGAACTCAATGAAGCTGGAAGCCAATGCAAAGCCAATAGCACAAGTCACCATCAAGTGCGGCATATACCAGGGTGATGCACTATCCCCACTGCTGTTCTGCATAGGCCTGAACCCCCTCAGCCAGATCATCACAAAGACTGGCTACAGATACCAATTCCGAAGCGGAACAATCATCAGTCACCTCCTCTACATGGATGACATCAAGCTGTATGCCAGGAGTGAGCGAGACATTGACTCACTGATCCACACTACCAGGATCTACAGCAATGACATTGGGATGTCATTCGAACTGGACAAGTGTGGTCGCATGGCCTCAAAGAGAGGGAACATGATCAGAACCGAGGGGGTTGAACTACCAGAAGGCCACATAACAGATGTTCAGGACAGCTACAAATACCTTGGGGTGCCACAGGCTAACGGAAACCACGAGGAGATGGCAAGAAAGACTGCCACAGCTAAATACCTACAAAGAGTAAGGCAGTTCCTGAAAAGTCAGCTGAATGGGAAAAACAAGATCCAAGCCATCAACACATATGCCCTACCAGTCATCAGATACCCCGCTGGTATAATAAACTGGCCAAAGGAGGAGATAGAGGCTACTGAAATCAAGACAAGACAGCTCCTTACAATGCATGGAGGGTTCCACCCCAAATCCAGCACTCTGAGACTGTACACCAAGCGTAGCGAGGGAGGCCGAGGGCTAGTGAGTGTCAAGACCACTGTCCAGGATGAAACAACTAAGATCCAGGAGTACATCAGAAAGATGGCCCCCAAAGACAAATGGCTCGGTGAGTACCTCGGGCAGGAGAAAACCGAAAGTGAGGACAAGAAAGAGGAAGGAGAACCATCATGGAGGGACAAGCCGCTGCACGACGTATACCACAGACAAATAGAAGAAGTGGCTGATATCAAAAAATCCTACCAGTGGCTGGAAAAGGCTGGACTGAAGGACAGCACAGAGGCACTAATCATGGCAGCACAAGAACAGGCACTCAGTACAAGATCAATAGAGGCCGGGGTCTACCACACCAGGCAGGACCCCCGATGCAGACTGTGCAAAGATGCCTCTGAAACAATACGGCACATAACAGCAGGGTGTAAAATGCAGGCAGGAAGTGCATACATGGAACGCCACAACAGGGTAGCTGTCATAGTGTACAGGAACATCTGCCATGAGTATGGGCTGGAAGTCCCAAGGTCAAAATGGAAGACACCTCCTAAGGTAGTTGAGAATGACCGAGCTAAGATCCTATGGGACTTCAAGATCCAGACTGACAAACAGGTGATGGCTAACCAACCAGACATCGTGTTGATCGACAAACAGCAGAAGAAGGCAGTAGTGATAGATGTGGCAATCCCAAGCGACAGCAACATCAAGAAGAAAGAACACGAGAAGCTTGAGAAATACCAAGGACTGAAGGAGGAGCTAGAAAAGATGTGGAAAGTAAGAGCAGCAGTGGTGCCAGTGGTAATTGGAGCACTGGGGGCTGTGACCCCCAAACTGGGAGAGTGGCTACAGCAGATTCCAGGTAAAACATCAGAGGTCTCTGTCCAGAAGAGCGCAGTGCTAGGAACAGCTAAGATACTGCGCAGAACCCTCAAACTCCCAGGCCTCTGGTAGAGGACCCGAGCTTGAGGATGACACATACCACCCCACGAGGGGTGAGAAAAAAGTATATATATATACATATATATTTTTTTTTTTTTATGTTCCCCACAGACTCCAGCTGCTGAGGAGCTCGCTCTTCAAATCCCAACTAATGAGAGACAGGAAGATCTTCATTATGAGGATGTGAAGTTCATAAAGAAACCTTCCTGTGTGTCACAGAGCAGCAGCAATGAGCAGCAGGAAACGCTGTACGCACAGGTCCAAGTTTCCAAGGTAGTGAACAGATCATCTCAGACTGCTGACGGACCAGAGGATCTCTACTCTAGTGTTCAGTGAAACTGTCTCCATCAATGACAGGATTCTAAACAAACAGACTATACTGATTATAGTAGTTTTATCTGGTTATATTTCTGGGTTTGGATGCAGAGTTTGCAGGGTTTGGTGAAGCTTAATGGGTTAAAAGAATTTTACTTTGGTTAGTTCTCCTGATATTTTTTTTAATCTCTTCATTTCAGTAATGATGTGTTAATACGATAACACAAATGCAAATGTTTTGATCATGCTGGTAATTTGTAAACATATTTAATATTTTATGGTAATGCTGCTTTCAACAAATATGTAATACTTAGAGTCTTTTTAATCTTATTATTTTAAAGATCCTGTAATGTTTCCCTCTTTTCTAATGTCAGAAAAACTGATATATTTTCATTTGCTTTAGTTTTGTTACATGAATCCCAACATCTGGAGATTAAACTGATTTTAAGGATTAAGTCTAAAGAAAAAAAATGTCTCTGGTTTTGTTATATATTTTTCATAGATCATTTTACATATTTCAGTTAACTTTTAGTCCGTTAATATTCTTTGATTTACATTATTTTGCGTTTAAGTCAACCTAAACATGCATCTGCAGAGGACATATTAACTATACTCCAAGGAGCACTGGAGCATGATGGGAGTTCTGGCTTTTTGTCCAGTATGTATGGTATAAATCAGGCAAAGAAGGCAATGACCATGTCGACAATAAAAGAAATAAGAAGTGTAATAAAATAAAAAAACAAGTTATGTCTTTCCTTAAAGGAATAGTACACCCAAAACATGATTAGCCTTCATTTTCTACTCACCCCCATGCTGAACAACACTCTGGAGTACTTTTTTGATATCTCAAATGCATCTGGAGATCTGGGAGGCTTCTTGCTGTCTGCTGACATTCAAATAATGGAGGTCTATGGCGCCCGAGGCAGAAAGGTCCATAAAAGTCCACAAAAAACGTGTCAATATTCCTCCATACTGCTCGTCCAATGTATTCCAAGTGTCCTGAGTGGGTAGCGTCCATAATTTACTCGAAACAAAGTCATTTAGAATGTTTTTAGAGCATAAACAGTAGTGTATAGGACTTCCTAAAAGCGCGTTCACGAGTCTACGGAAACCGTGGCAGACCAAACCAGATGCGCATTCAGCGTCTGCTCTGCCAATAATGCAAGCGTAGAAGAAGAAATGTGCTGTTTACCTGTGCAAAGAAAGAAACAACGAAAGAAAAATGTCTGAGGACTTCAGTGTTGAGGAAGAGCATGAGTTCTTTGCCGAGCTGAATGCGCACTTTCATCTGGTTTGGTCTGCCGCGGTTTCCGTAGACTCGTGAACGCGCTTTTAGGAAATCCTATACACTACTGTTTATGCTCTAAAAACATTCTAAATGACTTTGTTTCGAGTAAATTATGGACGCTACCCACCCAGGACACTTGGAATACATTGGACTCCAGAGTGTTGTTCAGCATGGGGGTGAGTAGAAAATGAAGGCTAATCATGTTTTGGGTGTACTATTCCTTTAACAGTTCAATGCAGACAGAAAACGTTTAGATTCAAGATTTCAGGTTTGTTGAGCTTCTTTGGCTCAATCACAGGCGCCTCCTAAAATGATGGAGGCAGACATCATCAGAGGTCATGGATTGGCAGGATGGAAATGGTTTATGGTAAGAGCCAGGTACAAACAACACCAGTTGAGGGGCAGAGGTGTCGATCTCTTATTATCCTTATTTTTCCTCCCTAATCCATTTAGCTGAAGCCACTTTATTGGGTTTTTCCAGAATAATCAGCAAGGCAAAGTAAAAAGAGAAAAGACTCCCATTCCAAATTAAAAGCATACAAATATAACCAGTTAACAAACTGCTTGCAGTTTTACCCTGAAAGATCTGAACGTATGTGGGAGGTTAACTCATCTCTGTCAGACATCAGCCTAAATTTTAGATATAAAACTACTTCCTTCTGTGTTAACTACTTCCTCAGTTGTTGCATCATCATCATTCATAGATATTATATATGTAGATGCCTCATTGAGTGGGTTGGCCCACTGCTGGGGTGTAACTGGCTGTCCGCCATATTGGAGGAGGCAAAGCTGCGCTTTAATAGGTTTCCTTCCTGACTACCTAATGATCTGCTACATCTGAGTTTTGAGATTGAGAAAAACTGTTGTTCATGTTCTGTGAGAGACATTGAAACCACGGATCAATTGTTTTTTTCATTGTAATTTGTCAAATGTTTTTTGGCAAGATATCTTTAAATGGCTCCACCCTAAAGTTTGCCAACTGATTTGTTTTTCTCTGAAGGACATTTTTTTTTTATACGGGACCGTATCTCAGTGTAAAATAGTCTGTCTAGTGGTAAATTCTATTTTAGTTCTTGAAAAGAAATGGAGACTCAAATCCAAATTTAAAGTGATTCCAAAATTCTGTGATTTTATCAACACAATAGCTCCTTTGTTTACCTATTCAGCAAAATAATACTGAGAAGCTTCTTTCCTGTTATAAATCTGGACAATTTTGTATACAGGTGTTATTTTGGATTTCTTTTCATTATTCAATTCCTTATTTTTTCCATCAATTATTTGCCTTCTCATCATAGTCTGGTGGTGTATTTGTACAATTTGTAATTGTTTGTATAAATTTGTTTAGTAAAAAACACAAATAAAATTTTAAAGCATGTGTTAATGGTATATTTTTTGTTATTGCCCTAGCTTTAATTCACATAAGATAACGTGAGAAAAAGGTAAAAAACCTAATATGTAAAAGCTTCTCAGATTAGTGCAATAATTTTACAGTTATTCACATTTCATCAGCTGTAAAGTAGAGCAAAAAACTCTGTGCTACAAAACAATATATGAATAACAATAAAGGTGATACATCTGGACCTCTGGACTATCAGTAATCACTGCTGCCACCTGCTGATTTAGAGGGAAACTGCTTATTCTGCCAAATGTCTGTATCTCACAAAGTTAGAAAATCCTTTAAAAATGTCTGTATCCAGATTAAGATCTAAATCATCACCAAAATGTAACGGATTCTTCCTTTCATTTTAATACATTTATAACCTTTTAGTTTTTTGGAAAACAGACAAATCAAAGGTGATGAAACCATCACCTCCTTGGCAGAGGTAATAATGTTGGTGACGAACAATTACAAATATGGAGCAGGTGTGGGTGGAACTAACTAGAAGGAAGCCGAGGGGGGAAAAAACAAGCCCAAGGTGGCAACAGAGAGCAACTAAAGACTGCTTGAATATCATGGAAAATAAAACAAAGATCAACAAAACATAATAACTGAAAACTAAAAACTTAGACTCCCAAATGGGGAAAAACCATGAAACAGAATCTATTATAATTAATCCTTCAACTTTGGTGACAGGATAAGAAAGATACCTGTCAATAAATTAGTATATTGAGCTCTATGTATGGTGAACAAAAGAAAATGAGAAAGTTTTGCTTGAGGGAATAAAAAAATGCCATGGGTCAATCCCCCTATTCATTCCAGGAGAACAGTTTCTTTTCAGAGAATTGGGATTAGAACAGTCCTGTACAGGATTAACTACAAAATCTAAAAGGCAACAAAAAATGATTTTTTTTTTATTTAAGCATATATTGTATAGTATAAATTATTTCGGTGCAATTAAAAACACTTTTTTTTTCAATCGTACTGAACATTTTTATTAAATTGTTTACAAAAATAAAAAGCATGAATGACACCAGCTATTTAACACTGTACAATACATGTTTTGAGTGACTAGAGGTAACAAAAATACACATTTGAGAAACAAGTGCAACAAAAGGCTAGGGAAAAAAACAGTATCATATTAGTAGCATTTTAAAATAAGTATTCAGACATATCATCATATGTTTTCCATGAAGTTTTCTATGTCTTCACTGTTTTGATAGAGGAGAAATAATCTTTTAAAAATTCCACAAGCAGTTACTGCATTATTGCTCGTAAATGTGGTGTTCACTTAGAACAGAATATTTCCTTTAACATTGCATTTGCCAGGAGACACACGCAAATAAAACAATAACTTAATAAAGCACAATGAGGAAGTAGTAAAAAAGGCACATAGATGTATACACCGGTGGGGGTTGTTTACTTAATATTTTCGGCAACTGACTGCTGAATTTTAAAGATGATAGAAGTCATCTGTCACTTTGACGAATTGTAAGTCCAACCCTGACCACTTGGTGGCATAAAGTGTAATAATTAGCTTGTGCAATTGTAACCTTTTTGTATATTTTAGTTCCCAAAAACCAGGAGAAGGACAAATAAAAAATTTCGAACACAATAAACAATACCTCCAATTCACTTTAACAGGTTACACAATTCTCCACCACTTAATTACCACAATTCCAAAGAACAGTTACCGGCAGAGCCAAGGAGATAGGAGAATTGGCGTCAATCATAAACATTTTAAAGAGCAGTGGTGATGCACGTAGGCTCAATAGTTCAAAGGAGTTAGTTGCTCACTCTAGAATTGCCATAGACATAAGCAGAGCGTAACATTTGTGCATGGAAATACTAATGGTTTTTGAAAAGGTAAGTTGTTCAAAGAAATTATGGTTTACATCATCAGCTCATGGTTTTCCCTTACATTTAACCAGCTTAGGAAAGTTAACAATTAAGATTATGGTCAAATTATTACTATTTGGGCTGCTGTAAATTTGTTTTTGTTTTTTTGTTTTTTTATAAACTAAACGTTAAATGTTGAAACAGACTCTAGATTAAATAAAAAGGACACATTTCACATGGTAAACAGAAGTATAATGTGGAGGAAAACCTCTCAGTCAGTAAGATTTTTTGTAATGGTTTTTGTATTTTGTGAAACAATCACCAAAGGTATCGTTTCTTTCATAGACCTGTCTGTATATTGAAAAACATTTACTTTATTGGACAACCGAACGCCATAGCAACCTAACTTGCTTGGTCTTCATCTTGTGCAAGTCTCTTATTCTCCATGGCTTTGGTTGACAGCTTACATTACTTGTAAGGTGATCAGCAAAAAGAGCGATATGACATTTAAATCAATTAATGTAAAAAGACTTTAGGAAGATATTTGGAAAACTAATAAAGAGTGACAAAAAACCTAAAACTGTTAGTAAAGAACAAAAAAAAAAAAAAAAAAACACAAATTCCATTAGAACTCAGTAAATAAACCAGTTGTGTTACAGTTGCTGATTGTTTCCAATTTGTTTTTAGTAGATACAAATATTTAGCAAGAAACAGTCTAATTACATGGACATTAAATCTAGAACATTGAATTTTATACTGTTTAGTATTGTTTTAGAGTAACTGTAACCCCTGTAATATGCCAAATAATATCGCTTAAAACTATAGTCTTCATGGATTTCACAGCATGTCATTTTGATTTAACAGTAAAACCCAACAATAAAAAACAAACCTTTATATCACAACAGGGTCAATAATATCACAGTAAACATTTTAAGGATTTCACAGCATTCAACATCAGTACATTGAAATACTGTATATAAATACGTAACTGAACTTGACACATATCGTCCGAAACACTTAAGTAGTACCTAAATGACTGACTTGGCTCACACAGGATACGGTGCAGCTGTGGTGAGGGAACTGTAAGGAACCTAAACCATCAAATCAATAGGCACACTTATATCAGCAATGGTGCATTATAGCTGCAGTTACTGTGTGGCTCAACTGAATGATTCTGCAAGAAGAGGGTTTAGCCAGACAACGCAGAGATCCTGTGTCAGCTGGCGGGAAACACATAAGCCACACAGGAACAAGTGAGGCACCTCACAGGAAGGAGTTCCAAAAAAACAACCCATCACTTATGTCAGCTTGGCTAGTCTAAGCAAAACGACAAACATGAAACAGGGCTATTGGAAGATGGAAAATTATTTTTGTCCTTGACCTTTGAAGAAAAAAGTGAGAACTCAAAATTAGGAGTTTAATGTTCATATTATACCCAAGTTTGTTGGACACAGGTTAGTGTTACGAATTAGCTGAGAGGTGGAGTTTTTTTTCTGTTAGACAGTGTCATAAAATGAAAGAGATGGATCCAGTATTCAAGGTGAGACAGTCAGTAAAAATATTTCAAAACGTTTAGGAGGTGATGAGAGCGAGTCACTTACCTGGTTTAACAGTTCAGTCCATCCTCTCAACCATAGGCAGGATCAGCCGATCTACTGCCAATGAGATGCGGCACTGAGCCGTAGAGTGGGTCCTCGATGCAGCAACCCCAGCGAGCAAGCAGGACTCCGATCCAAGACAGGGATTAAGATCAGACTGTTGTAGTTCTGAATTCCAGTAGTCCGCAGTCATTTCAGGGGTTCCGATCCACTCAGGAATGGATAGATCCAGGTTCCAGGAATACAACACAGCATGAAGGCAAGTTCTGAGTCCCATGCGTCGAGCATCCAGCGCAGACAGAAACGCACAGATGGACAGAATCCAGCAGGAGTCCAACCATGGTTCAGGCAAACAGTTCAGGCAGGGACAGACAGGGCCAGTGAGTGAGAGGGAATGGAATCAGGAAAACAGAATCACTAAGGAAATGCTGAAACGCCCTCACCACTGGTTACGGAATAACTCGCCTGAGGACACTGGTTTGAGAATAAACGTCTCATTGGAACAGGGACATAAACCAAACAGCACTCATAGGACACTAATGGAAGGCAAACAGGGAACAAACATCAAACAATGATCTGGCCAAGTTAGCTGGAACTGAGCCCAATATAAGGGAAACGGGAAGGAGGATGAGGTGAGAGACAATTAGGAACTGGATAGAGTTAAGCAGGTGAAATGCATGAGTAATTAAGGTGAGCTATTATCTTGATGATTTAATGAAGAGTAAACAAACAACTGAGGCAGGAATCCAAAATCTATCACGAGGAGGAGACTTTCTCATTCTCTCTCTGTTCTCCTATTCTGCAGAATCTGTTAGTTCAATCTCTAACCTTCTGCTCTCTCTGCTTTTCCTCAGAGTAGCTTTGCCTCGTCTGTTCCTGTTTGGCTGTGACTCCATCCTGGAAAGAAACATCAGCTGTGATGCTGCCATCAACACCTTTGTTAATAGATGTTGGAGATCGGCCTGTTTTCCAGTGTGGTCCTGTTTCTCTGACCGTGACTGAGTGGATGTGCTCTCTTCGTCCTCTGGCATGGGAGCTGCCTTGGTCGGTCTCGGCAGATGGCCGCTCACACTGAGCCTGGTTCTGCTGGAGGTTTCTTCCTGTTAAAAGGGAGTTTTTCCTCTCCACTGTCGCTACAAGCATGCTTAGTGTGAGGGGATTGTATTTGAGTCAATGCAATCAACTGGTTTTCCTTAGATAGAAAACTTTGTATCAATTTGACTGTATGATCTGGTTGAACTGTAAAGTGCCTTGAGATGACATGTGTTGTGAATTTGGCGCTATATAAATAAACTGAATTGAATTGAATTGATTTGAGTTGGAGGAATTTAGACAAGGAACCAGCACTGAGGAACTGAACAGAGATGTATTTATGGGAGGCTGAAACAAAGAGAGGACTAACGAGCAGATTGGGAGCAGGTGTGAACAGAGCAGAACAGGAAAGGAGCTAGGGAAAAAGGAGAACACAAGAGGGCAGCAGAGGGCAACAAATAAAAATCTGAAAACTGAAAAATAACGAGAGAAGACAACAAAAATAAGAATTAAACCACTAAACCTAGAAAACATGGAGCAAAGTAAAACTGAAAACTCAAAAGAAAACATAACAGAACCAGAACTGTGACATTCTCTGGTAGACTTTTGGTACTTCAAGAAATGATTATAATTTTTGCTAAAAGCCGGTCCCTTTCATTTATTGCTGATGGGTTGCATCAAAAGTGGCTTGCAGGTAAATTTTGGTAGATTTATTTTTTTCAGGGAAAATTTGAAGTACAAAAAAATACATCCATAACGGGACATTAACAATTTAGTGTTCATTATTTAAATGTCTTAAAAAAGGCAGATATTAACCAGACCATTATTTTATCATGGATATTTTGCAAGGTCTTTAACTTTCTGCAATAAAATATTTTTGAATGCAAAAACATCCCAAATCAGTTGCTTAGCAACCAAAAAAGCAGTTACAGAAAATTTATTGTTATTGAGGCTTTATTGCATCACTTGATATAACTAAACTTAAACAGTCTCTGAATTTGGAGCAGTTGTCGTTTTATTATCAGTGCTGCTTATCTCCTCATTCTTACATATTTTACAAGAACACAGTGAATCTAGAAGTTTATCCACAACGCTTTTCCGTATAAGCAAATACAACATTGCCTGTGCAAAGGGATAAAGACAAACAGAGATTGAAACCACCATAAAGGAAATATAATCACCAGGCAAGATCAAGAACGAAACAATTAAGGGCAGAAACAGCAGAGAGTAAACAAGCAGCACAACAACCTGAATGGCTGCGATTCGTCGTTTTTCAACAGCAGGGACACTGAGAGATCCAGACAGGGCTTTTATGGTCTCTACCAAGGAAAAGATGAACAAAGGAAATGGCAGGAGCAGAAAAGCTCCTAAAAGGGAAGGAGGTGTTTTTCAAGATAGAAAAACATCAGCAGAAAGAGGGAAGAAAGAGCCCAGACCACTGCACAAACCACTGCAGATGTCTTGATGTTTCTTGTGAATCTGTACCACAGTGGCTTGGCAATGATCAAATATCTGCAAAACCGATATAGGTATTTAGTTTTTAGAGAATATCAGATACAAAACAAAGTTAGACTTTCAGATTAAAGTGATTATGTCAGACAGAAAAAGAAAACAAGAAAAAAAACACAGTTACCTTTCAACTGATATGCACATCATAAATGCAACACTGGCTGTTGCACACAAAACTAGGACACTGCTTAATACGTGATAATTCTGGCAAAAATTCAATGAAATCCTGAGGCAGAGCTGAATGAGATCAGAAATTAAAAGGTTGATTACGTAGACTGGTGCACCAAAATCCTTTTTCACCTGTAAAACAATACAAAACAAAAAAATATATATATTTAAATATATTGGAGAAGGACATAAATCGTACAAAATTAACATTTCTGAGCTTTTAAGACTTAATGTTATTCCTTCACCAACATTATGTAGGTTCTCTGTGTATTTTAATCTATTTTGACTCCTGAGCTGCAGTAACCAAGGAGCAAATTCTCAGAAATAAATCCAAAATTGCCAAAGTAGAAAGAAGATTGTTTTTGTTCTTTGCTTTTTTAGAGGAAAGAAGATCTTATTGATGTGTGCGTAATGCATAATTCATAGTAGAACAGGAAGTGTCTAAAATCATTCCTTTATTGTACATTTTGTTAGCTTGTCTGTCTGCTATATTAACCAATATGATGTGTTTAATTAGATCTGCTTTTTCCACAACTTTGGGAGACACTTTTGTATAAAGTAGGGCATTAGTTCATAAAAAAGTGTTGGGATCTGGAGATTTACCACCTTTCTCCAGCAGAGTGCGCTGTGGGTCTCCTGGGCTGGAGCCCTCCAGCACACCTGAAGCTCATCAGCCCATCAGGAGACCTTCCTACATAAGCAGCAGCCAGACCTTCCTTCAACGCCGCAGTGTTGACCAAGTTTGGTTAGCGAACCTGAGCCTCTGTTAATCTGAAGAATCTTAGTTGCCTCTAGAGAGAAACTGGATTCTAACCTGCCTCTGTCTTCTTGCTCACAGAAAACCCGACTGACGTCTGAAGCTCTGGATGAGCTTTGCCTGTAAACCTGCCTGCCTGCCTGCCCAAGGAAGCCAAACCCGAAGATTTCAGTCTGGACTCCTCCTGCTGCTCTCAAGGAAGAGCTGGAAACTCAAATCAAGGTCTGCCACTTACTAGTCAGAAGCTAGACGCTGCTGCTGCTGAGCACTCTGCTGAACCTACAGTCTCTGGACCCAACTGTTCCTTCTCTCACACAGATCTGTCTGGACCTCTTCAAGGTATATTCTGAATAATCTAAACTCAACAAACCATCTGACTGCCTGGCTAATCAAACTATCCGTCTCTGCAGACATCAGTGATTCCAGCCCCGGACCTGTGCCTGAACCAGTTCATGTTCTCTGTGTGAAAACCTTTCAATAAACTCTGTTAAACTTTTACTCTGCTTCCAGTGGTGTTCTGCATGTGGGTTAAGTCTCTTAAGCCAATCATGACAGAACACTGCGGCCAAACACAAAACCCAGCAGATCAACTCCGGAGGAGGCTTGAGGAGCAAGCTGCCCAAATCCACAAACCACTGCGCCACCGAAAAACAGCCCGCCAGTCGCTTTTTTAATAAAAAGTTTGCTAGACATAATTGTAACCAAATTTAGCTTATGTCACTAAAAAGGGTGCAGGTCTTGTCTCTGTTATGACCACAGGAAGTGTTTGGAGCCGGATAAAGCAGCTGAGAATAACAACAAGTAATTAATTTGCACTGAAGGTAACCCCAGAGTGATTAATGTAACGCATGTAGTTGCCAAAGTCTCCAAGAACTAAGAAAAAACTTAAATGATTTATAAAATGACATCTTGTAATAAAACTAGCTGAAGGGGGGGTAAAAACTTGATAAATATTGAAACAAAGTCAAGTAGGCTACAGTGGAAATAGTACCTTCAGGGCCGGATTTATCAAGATCCAATTTTGCGTGCGGTAATTTGCGCTCGCAAACTGGAATTTTGCGCGAGGGGCTGAACCATGGTTTGCAGGTGATTTAACAAGAGTGATTGCGTAACTGGTGGCAGGTGCAAAACTGTTGGAGACGCCCTATTTAAATGATGGTTTTGCGCGTTTTGTGGTTTGCGGCAAAGTAGTTTGTAGTTTGTGCAAACTAGTCCATTAAGAAATTTTAATCTTACAGTGACACCCCCACCCCCTCCAAAAAAAATAAATATATATATATATATAGATATATATATATATATCTATATATATATATATATATATACAAGCCGGAGGTCGGGGTTCTCCGGTAGGGCGTCAGGGCGACATGGCATTTAGAACGTCGGACAGCACTTCTGAAAAACGAGATTGGGAGATCCCAGCTCTCGCTGCAACCGTACGCTGGAATGACCCAGATGCAAAAAAGTCCAATGTTGCAAGGAGTTTAGTGATATCTGGTATTGCGTGGGTCCTCCTTGTGGCTGGCTCCAAATCCATTCGGAGCTCCCCCAACAGCTCCAAAATGGCAATGCTGGATAAACGATATGTTTTGATGATCGTTTCCTCGTTCACTCCAAAAATATTCACATGGAGTGAAAAAATGCGTTCTCTGCGTCTCCTTGCTTCATTTCGATTTCTCCTTCTTGCGACAATAACAGCTGCCATGTGTGCGCAATTACGCATACAGACCATTTGCACCTTCTTTTGAAACGTGTTAAATATAGAGTCAGATACCTTTCAGGTTTGATAAATCACTTTGCGAGTGCTAAATTAATATATTTACATGTTCTCCTCCCACAAGATGCACTTTTGCGTGTAAACGCCCCATATTGCATATTCATTGCAGAAAAAGTACTAAATGGATAAGAGGCGCTATTTAGCACGTTTTAAAGACCAAATTCTTTTAGCACGCTGTTGATAGATCAGTTTGTACATTTTTTAGTGTGCGCAGTGAAATAGCTCATGTTTTTATACACGCAAACCTTTGATAGATCCGGCCCTCATTGTTATCTGATAGGTTTAAGTAACTTTACACTCACCTGTGACAAAACTGCAACTATCACTAGTAGAGTCAAAGGAAGTCCAATGCTGATTGTGATCCAGTTGACCGTACGTAAGAAGTTAGCCTTAGAAATATGGTAAAAAATTGTTTCATTGTTTGGGTCGCAGCTGTCGTTTATCTCCATCCTTAACTTTTAGACCAGAAATATTGAGAAAGGAGTATCTGTGAACAGAAATGTTTTATGAGGAAAAATCCCAAAGAAAGCATTTCCAATTGTTGTCCAAATATGGCCAAGACTTGTAGGCTTTACAGTAGTAGCCATTCAAAATGGCCCTTCCCAGTCAAACGCAAGCCAAATGGCTGGCTATTCCCCTGCAGCTCCCAGCAAAATCCCCTTCAACTTCCAGCCACTGGCCTTCTCCTGGGCATGCATATTTTTCTACTCTGACTTCATCCTTTCACTGAATTACAGGATCTGACCAGGAGATGATGCTTCTCTTAAGACCTTAATGTCCACAAATCATAAAAGAAATAATATTTTAGTGCAAAGATGGATGTTTATAATGGAATTGTAGGGGACCAGCCAAGGAGCTATCAAGGAAAGTGGGGACATTTTGAACGGCTACTACTGGTACATTGTGTAACCCGTATTCAGACTTTTTCATCTTTTGTGTCCCCTTGTGATCTCAAGCACAGAAATCAGGTAGGTCTCTATGAACTCAGTCTACTTTCATCCCAGTTTCAGTTTATGCTTCTACAGAACAAAGGAATAGCTCTATATAAGCACTACTTTAAAGTTGTAGAAAAGACCTCAACAAGATGAATTAGCAGTCGTACACTGTTTCAACCTTTGTGTATCTTTGTGATCTGACAGAGAAACCAGAGAGCTATTTCTATAAACTCGTTCTACTCTCATCACAGCTTCAATATTCTAAAAACCATTAAAGACTAAATTCCTAGAATTGACTTCACATTCAAAATGTTATGTGACTCTGAAACACAGAAGAATAAAATGTTTCTGTAAAACTATGGGGCCAAAATGGTAGCTTTAATATTTACAAATGTGTGTGGAGAGTTGTGTGTCTGTATCTCGATTTGTGTGTGTGCAGTGGGATTTGAAAATGTGTAAATAAATCTGTAAATGTGTGAGGAGATTTGTGTGTCTGTACAACAATCTGCAAATGTGTAAAACTACTTGTGTGTAATCCGTTTTGCAAATGTGTAAAAAATCCACAAATGTGTATTCAGATCTGAAAATGTGTACTGAGATTTGCAAATGTGTAAAAAATCCACAAATCTGTATTCAGATCTGCAAATGTGTACTGAGATTGGCAAATCTGTAAAAAAAAAATCCACAAATCTGTATTCAGATCCACAAATGTGTACTGAAGCTTGCAAATGTGTAGATCAATCTGTAAGCACACACAGAGACACTTGTGTCTGAAGTATTTTCGCTTCAAGGCCCAGAAATACAGACAAATCATTGGTTACAAGTCAAGCGGTTTTTCGGTTGGCTCTCTTTACACACGTGATTTTTGCTACTCTTCTTTACAGATTGATCTACACATTTGCAAGCCTCAGTACACATTTGCAGATCTGAATACAGATTTGTGGATTTTTACACATTTGCAAATCTCAGTACACATTTGCAGATCTGAATACACATTTGTGGATTTTTTTACACATTTGCAAATCTCAGTACACATTTTCAGATCTGAATACAGATTTGTGGATTTTTTACACATTTGCAAAATGGATTACACACAAGTAGTTTTACACATTTGCAGATTGTTGTACAGACACACAAATCTCCTCACACATTTACAGATTTATTTACACATTTTCAAATCCCACTGCACACACACAAATCGAGATACAGACACACAACTCTCCACACACATTTGCAAATATTAAAGCTACCATTTTGGCCCCATATAAAACAAATGTTAGTAGGCAAATCCCCTGGCCAAGATGGTTTGACTTCAAAATTTTTATGGAAAAACACTTAAGAGAATCATAGCCAAAGCCTGTATTGAAAAAATATGATTCAATGTAATCTATGAAAGAAGGAGTAATTAGATTATTACCCAAACCAGGAAAAGACAAAAGATGTATCGGCATCTTTAGCCATAACAATGAGTTCACAGCGGAAGTGGTTCCATATCAATAATAATATTTAAAAATAACTTTTGGCATTTTAATTTGATAAAAAGTCTTTTCAATGTAAACTTATGCTGTTCATAAAACAACATATTTCAGACAGAATAGAATAACATGTCAAAACAACATTTAATTGCACAAAAAAAAAACTTAATACAGATACTAGATGCAATCAGTATGTTCAGCAAACCCCCCATGGGAAATATGTCTTAGAACCGCCTCTGCCCTCTTTGAGGATTTGTATTCATATCCAGCCATTTTACTACTAAAAACATCTGTTAAATGAGACCAATTGCTATCACACAAAACACAATCTATACATTCACCACTGTGTCGTGCCTTCAACCTTAAAATTGTGCAGTATTTATCAGTTCATCTCTTTATTTCCAAAATAACTTCTCAATTGTAATATTTTGTAAACAGCTTGAATAATTTCCCCAGTATGGGACAATAAAGGGGTTTTCTGTTCTATTCTATTGTATCACTGCAAAAACAGAACAACAAACAAACTTTAAATAAAAGTACTCTATTCTATTCTTACACTGGAAAAAAAATCACAATCTAAATAAGTCAATTTTATCTTAAAAAAAAGTTTTTTTTTTTTTCCTTGAATTGAGGGGATAAGCAAGACAATGGAACAGGACAATTTACATTTAAGAAAAAAAATGCATTGTCTTATTTCAAGTCCATGTTATCTATTTGTTTTATTTTAAGAGTAAAACACTCATTCCATTGGCAAATCACCATATTTACCTATTCAAATTAAGGGTAAATGCACTTCATTTAAGAAATTTTGACTTATTTCTAGATTTTTTTGCAGTGTAGCTTTGATTATTCTCAATCACTAATAAATAAAGCAAGACATATTTACCTTTGAAAAACCTAGAATAAATCTGTGGCGGTTTTCTCAAATGTTTGAAGTCGTTTCCTCTGCATTCACTCTCTCAACAGGACTTTTATTTTGTCATTCAGCATATTGATAAATGTTTTCCTCCTGGACACACCCTTTTCCAGAATGTCACATGATATGGATTTTTCAAAGTCGTAATATTCTTTGTTCTTTGAAGCTACCCTCATCTTCCCTTGAGGCTGCTCTAAGGTGTTAATTTAATACATATTAAAGAACCTTTTTATTTACCCAGATGTGTGCTTAATTCACTATCATCTCTGACATGAGCCTTTATGTTTTCACTAGCAGTGGTTTTTGTTGTTTTATTGATGTCTAGTCATTTAGGGAAAGGATTGTATGAAATCCATCATCAGCGGAATCATCCATACTCCTTGGTGTCCATGAGGAGTATTCTGTTTCTTTAGCCAATAAGTATAAACCATATTAATATTAATTTATTATTTTATTATTAAATTTATTAACTTATTTTTTTTTTATGTATTTTCCGGACTTTTATCTGTTATATTATAAAAACAAAACATAAGAAACTAAACAAATAATTCTTTTTCAGATCAAGTACTTCAGTATTCAGTTATGCAGTCTGGTCCCAGTGTCTGTGATGTAATGAGAGGATGTGATATTATCGTTTTATCTCTTTTCTCGGTGTCTGGGTTCAGTTGGAAAAATTTGCATAGACAAATCATAACCAGAATAATTTCCTGGTACTGATCAGTTTCTTTCAGGAAGTAAAATTTAATACTGTAGCAATGATGCTCTTCAATAAAAATGTGAATATCGATATATATATAATTTTTATTTTTTTACTGAACTCTGGAATGAGTTTGCTTTGTGATTTTTTTGGTCATTGGGTTGGTAATCTATAATCTATAATAATCTATGCCTTCTAACGGTACCATGGTGGAAACGCAACGAGGAAATTATGTGTTGCTGAAATTACATTTGAAGAAATTTAAATGTCTCATTGAGATTTCAATATATTTTGTTAAATAGAAAAGTACTCGGAGAGCACAGATCTCCACCTAGCCGTAAATAGCTAAATCTCACAAATGTTCTGGATCATTACCAGATTTCAAGATTGTTCCTTTGCATGAGGTGAAGATCTGGTAAAATTTTCCTTAAAATACCCTCATAAGTTTTCAGGTAATCCTGCTAACAAACCAACCGCTCTGGTATCTCTTCTGCTCCATACTTCTGCATGGCTGCATTAACAGAAAAATTGCATGTTGTAGGATCTGGTGTCTGTCGTACTCACACCTTCTTCATTCGCTCTGCACTCTTCTTCTATGATCAGCAGATCAAGACGTCAACTGATGCATGGCTCCATTTTCTTGTTTGTATTTTTGTCTTCAGAATAATAATTCTGGTGTCAATAAGAATTGCTGCCACGCGCTGGTTGGGGAAGCTACTTGTTCTGCAAATGCCCCTATGTAAAATAATACTTTAAAGCCATTCTGTATACAGATTACATCAGCAATGTTTGATGGGCTGTTCCTTGGAAAGAGGAGAACCTCTTTTAAAAATCCCATTACAATATGTTATAATAATTAAAAAGTATCTAATGCATCTTTTTCCTATAATACTGTACTGTAATACCGTAATCCTAAATGTCAGAATAGTGGCATGAAGTGCTCTGTGTCTAGGAAGATATGTATTAGTAAAAAGGGAAATTTAGAAAATGATAAACCTGTTTCATCTGTTGTCCACATTCCAAAGGTATTGTTGTGCCGATCTGCAGCAGGAACGCTTTGCATAGATAAAATACAACCTGAAGCCTTTCCTGGTCCTGCTCTATTAATTTGAGGAAACAGAATTTAAAAATCCAAATGCAAATGCGAAGAAGTTCTCCTTTGACTGAGGAAGTTTTTTTTTTGTGTGTGTGCAATATTCTCTAAGTATATTTCTACTTGCTCTCTTCCCCTTGCAACCTCAGTCTGTACAGAGAAACCTCAAAATCCTGGCTGGCCATCATATTCCATGTGATGGAAACTCCTGAGGTTTGGTCCAGCTTTGCTTGCAAAGTGGCTGTATCCCACTCTTCA